GATAAATAGAGAATATGTGTTCCTATGTTGTTATTATTTCACAAAATACAGTCATAACAAAGTTATCTATTTTAAGACCTTTATACTAAGCATTTCACGACATACCTTATATCTTTAAAATTAATTCTAATACCATCCTTCTATCTAGGCCCAAGTCTCCCACATGCTTTATTCATTTCAGGTTTTTAGACTAAAATTTTATATTTTTTTCCAATTTCCTTCATGTAAGAACATTTTCTCCTTGATTTGATTGCCCTAATAATATTTGGTGAAGCATACATATTGGTAGGGACGGAGTAGAATCCAATGTCATGGTATTCACACTAAATATCATAAAAATCTATCAAATTATTCAAAAGTTATTACAGCACTCACATACAAACATGATGATAATGTGATTTCATATTTACCTTGAGAGGTAAAGAATGTGCAGAGAACATAATAATGACATCATTCTTAACCTCATCTGGAAACTTGATGAGCTCTGTTTTTATTCTGTCAGCAACAGTCTTTGTTAGCAATGGATGTGTGCCCCAACGATCAATAATACCCCATTTGACTCCAACAGGTAACTTTCTGAAATAAGAAAACAGCTGCACCACTGTTATCCCTAACCTAAAAGCACGCATAATAAAATCAGCCTTCATCTAAAGATAAGTGTTCCAGATACCATCAATGTAAAACTCTAGAGGTGAATTTTTGAAGGAGGCTCAATATAAATCTGCTTGAAGGTAATTACCAGAGAAAGACCTACTTGTTTTCCCAGTTAAACAAAGTCACAATAAGCAGTGGGACAAGCAATCCACTGGGTCAGAAATCACTTAATATTTTTCTTACAGAAAGCACAGTGTTCTGATAAAATTAAAAACAAAGCCTGCTACACTTCGGCATCTGTCTAGACTGACATCCCTTGACCATATTATTCAAAAGCTCAAAGACATGTAAATCACACAACTAGAGTACTTTCGTACGAAAGAGTTTTACATGGAATGTATTTTTTCAGTTAGTGATCTGATTTACTTTAAATTTATAAATTTTTCACTTGAAATGTTATAGAATTCTGTAATGTATTTAGCAATGTTTCCAGACAATAATACATTGCAAAGGATGGTAACCACAACAATGGCAGCAGATGTTAGGCCATAAACTTTTTTTTTCAGTTGAGATCTGTAAACATTTCCTCTGTATGCTGGATTTTTCAATTCTGATTCACAATGGAGACCCAGAAGTTGGTCATCAGCCACCCAGCAGGCAGATGTATATTGAAACTACATAACCAGTCAATAAACTTAGCTGAGCCTTGCTTATATACTAACCAACAAGTTTTCTAAACATACGATGCTCAATTTTATTTAAACAATAGGTTCCCAATATTTGGACTATGTCACTCTATTAATTCCTCAGTGCTGTCTGATGTAGTCAGTATGTAAACTATTACAGACACATGGAAAGAATTTCAAATGTTAGTGGAAGGAAGGTAGTATGGCATGACACATTCTGTTTTGGGTGTACAAAATTTTCAGCAGTGATTATCCCTTGGCCATCTAACTTCCTACATAACTAAAATAATTATTGAAAAAACCTGTAAAACAGCTATATGTATTTACAGATTCATAACACAATAAATTATGTGCAACAGTTTCTGTAAGTGTTTCGAGGGATTTTAAAATTTTAACACAACAAAACACATGAGGGAAGCTCAAACAGAAACCTGCCCACAGCAAGTATTGTGTCATGTCTCTTGTCTTAATGATACATACATCATGTATTCACCTCCTTATGAATTTAAAACATTGATAAACGGACAATAATGTTTTTCTTACCTGAACTTATAATATCTGTATATTTCATTTAAACTGGAACCTGTGGTGGCACAGCTGTACTGAGGATACTGTGAGAATATCACTACACGTTCCACCCCATCTCTACAAACATCATCAAATTTTCCTATTACTAACCAGAAAACAGGTTGCTCAACAGGCTTTTTATTATAAACACCTCATAGACATAGAAACCCAGAAACATGCACCATTCTATGCTGGTGTCAGAAAATAGCATATTTCAGATTGAAAATGAAGCCTGGAAAAGCAACTACAGTACTTCTTTCTTCATTCACAAACTACTTTAAACCACAACAGCTACTACTGTATTATAGACATTGGCTTAAAAATAAACCACTTGGATAGAGATTCTAGGTGCCCAAAGAGAAGTTGGTGAGACAACATGATGATACTGGCAATATATGATATAAAAACAGAGACAAGAAAAACCATGTTGTCTTTACACACTTGTCTTATATTACCTAAATATGCATTAGTAACATAAGATCTGTAGCACTGTAAGTCTGTGCAATAGGGAAGTGGGCTATATGACTTCTACCAACAAGTACTTGCTTCATTTGGTTCTGGGTTTTACTTCAAACTTCTGTCTGACTATATAGTTGCTGCTTAAAATTGTATAGAAATCTATAATGTATTTTACAAATATTTTCATGTAACAAGAATAAACTGTACATTTAAAATTATTTCTGTAGTACAAATGCTGATATTACAGAACAAGAACTCTATCAAAACAAGTTGTATGCTACTACAGAATTTACAAGTCTGTAAAATCTTTCTTACTTTTCTAACAGATCCAAAGTATCTTCAGTGAGTGGACTGGTATAACGGAATGCAACATAATACTTATGTGGACCAGTCTCTGGTGACAATTCATCAAGCTTCTGGCACAACAGTTCTCCCTGAAACAAATTTAAATATCATTTAAATTAAATATGAGGAGAACTATCTTTCACTTATCATCAAAATAATTCCATGTTCAATACATCCATCACATAAAATCATTATGAATACTGCTGACTGAATCAATCTTATTCAATAATTATTTGTTACATGATATTATTCTAATAACAAAGAAAATGTCTAATTTGCATCAATTTATTATTTATGAATTATGTTTCCTCATTTCCTGTGATAAAACAGGGCTTTCTGACAACTACATTTTTCCCATGTTATGAGCACATTCTTCATTTCTGTGTGCCTGTACTTGAAAGGCAAATTGAAGTGAACCAGAATACAAGCTTCTACTATAAAATACAATGTCATTTTACAACCTGCATCCAACCAACTATTCCTTCTTTCAATTACTCATCCATGTCTTTAATGTGTTCACATTCTCATCATCAGTAATTTTTTTCTCTCCCATATCTTAAAGAGACAGCTCTGCTGCTTGTTTTCTCCCTGGCAAAATCAGTTTCCTCAGAGAAGTTCATCTTTGAAAGAATCTAAAGTCTGAAGTAAGAAGACCTCATGCTCAGAGAATAAGGCATGTGCTCAATAGTTTCCCACTGCTACAATGCCACAAAGTTAGCTCAATGCCTTTGATAATGATGCCCAGGAGACTCAGACATTGTCATGAAACATGCCTGGGTGATGCAAGTGAAAATATGCTTCTTATATTGAAACACTAGGCCAGGAACTAATGGTACTAGTGTATGTTAACACATTGGTACTATGCATTTGCACACCAGAGTGTGACAACATGAACACATGGCTGTCTTCATAACCTGGCATTACTTAGTCCTTGATGAGAGGAGACTCATATGACTGTGCCAGTCAAATTCATATAATCATTTATTTCCCTTCAATTTACTTATTTCATCCTTTCTTCTATACATTTTCTACCAAGTTAACTTCCATCACACTTGTTTGAAATCTTGTATGCACTTTTTGTGTTTCGCTTATTAATACATGCCCAGTTCAACCCTGATATTTATTCATTTATGGTATATTTATATAACTTTCATTACCTCAGATTGTATAGCATCAAACGATGGGATGATCAGTGAATAAAGAATTGCAAAGTGCATGGAAGAAAGTGTGCCCCTCATTTAAGAAACTGATATATAGTATTCCTTACAATGTGAAATTTCAATACCTGTCGTTGAGTCCACATCAGTATTGGTGAGCCTCCACCAATTTGATCATACTTCTTTTGAACTTCAGGTGTTCTCCTTTTGGCTATTAATGGACCTAAAGTACTAAATAAAAAACAACAACCACCCATTAACATATCAATTGCATTACATTATAAATCAATGTTTTGCAAAATTAACTACACTAATGACTTCAAATTTTAAGTTTAAAGATTGGAGTTTTTAATTAACATATTTAAAAAATCAGTATTCCTTTTTGTGCATGCATATGAAATCTGTTATAACAAAAACATGGCAACCCATATTCATGTTACCAACACACACTTAATACCTCCTACCACTATCACAGCCAGTCATCATCTCTGCATTGTGTTTTGCTGTACACAGTACTCTGCATATTAAATATTTCTGAGAGTTTTATCTCCAAATATCTTGCCATCCACCATAATCTGAAAATGCTCATCAGAAACTGTGTTTTATTTTCAGCATTAACATTCACTTCTTTACAGTATGTTAAAACTCTTTAGAACTGGAGAGAAAAGCAGAGTACCGAAAATAAATGGAAAAGAAATAAAAGAAGTACATACATTTGTTTACTTAGAAAATATGGTGGAGAAAAATGGAAAAATCCAAAATGAGATTAATAAAGAAATGGAAAGACTTCAAAATCATTTAGCAAACAGTTTATTATGGAGTAGAGATACAGACAGAAAAAATGTAAAATTATAATGTATATTTTAAAAAGAAACTATTATATGAAGTGAAGATGTGGACATGTATTAAGAGAGAGGAAAATAAACTAAAACCAGATGAGATAAAATTCCTGAGGGTAACACTGAGAAAAAGCAAGAGAGAAAGAATTATGAATACATACTACAGAAAACACAGAACAGAAATGAGAGAAATAAACTTAGATGGTTTAGACTGTTCAAAGAATGGAGGAGCATAGAATTCAAGAGAGAATGGAAATGAGTGTAAACATAGTAAGAGACCATGTTTACAATAAATCTAGCCTCCCATTTTAAATTGTTGTATGTTCTTAGCACTCAATGCAGGAGTGAATGCTTAATGAAGAGTTGAAGTATAGATCCTCACTTTACATACCAAATTACAAAGGAGACTTCAATAAAATGTTAAGTAACCTGCATTAAAAGTTGACTGAATTTCATTATCAGTTGATGGGAACACTATAGTTAATGACATAAATCAATGTTAATTTGTATTAGTGGTTATCAAAATCTGTTTGGAATGAAGTTATACAAATAAATACAAGATACTTTAATTTTTTTCTATTTATAAATATATAAAATAGCAAAGAATGCGAGATTTGAGGTTTTCACAGTGGTGAGTATGAAGATTTCTGTCTTCTGGGTTGTTGCACCATGTAGTCTGGTCGATGCTAACCAACGTTTCAGAGGTCATACTGCCTCCGTCATCAGGGCTGGTTAGTCGGGATACCTGCCATCATGGTGGAACCGATCTTTCTTTCCATCATTACGAAACAGCCGCCTTTGCGGCTTCTGACTTGGCCTCCCCCCCTCATCATCGCTCAAGGCTTATACTTTGTCTATCATCGGGGTATGCAATTACATTTCTCTGGGTGAGGGGGGGTTCGATTCTAGTACAGAAAAGTGATCACGAGAAAAATTCATTGCAGATTGCTTCTACACCTGCTGAATAATAATTATTCGATTTGAACATAACATATAAAGTACATAAAAATATACATTTGAGTTTCTAACAGTGCTGAAGATGAAGATTTCTGTCTTCTGGGTTGTTGCGCTGTGTAGTATGGTAGATGAATCGCCCTGATGACGGAGGCAGTATGACCTCTGAAACGTTGGTTAGCATCGACCAGACTACACGGTGCAACAACCCAGAAGACATAAA